GGAAAAGAATTAGAAGGAGTTCAACGAGAAGTTAAAATTGAAAAAGATGGGGTGGAAAATAAAAATTATGGTGAAGATTTTCATTGTGAGTCAGAAAGTCCTATTAAATCAATGAAAATTACTGTAGAAATACCACCACCTTCATTTTCTCAAAGATTGAAGTAGAAGTATAAAAATAATTGATTCTCTGTCACGTGACTTAGCGAGAGCTTTAAAAGCATCGTGATGTTACTATGAAATAGCCATCATTTTGGTGACCCATTATGCAAGTTACCACGATAATGTAAGCAAGATTTCTTTTATCAATAGTATCTTGGGTATCTTCAGAGATGTAATTAACCAAATCGATGTGTTCCTTTCGGAGTGCTCTTGATCTCAAAGCAAAAAAATATTCTTTTTTCTTCTCTAGTTATGGATGTCTTATGTAGGGATTTTGTTCGTGAATAAATTGTTTCGAGATATTTCAATTTGATCGTATTTAAACGTATACTCTCAACCTATCACCGGAGGATTATCTACACATAAGCCCTTCATGTTTCTTTTTAAATTTTGTTAGTCTATTTTTGGCCTACATCCCATCTTTTTTGATTTATCGTATCTTCAAATCATTTATATATTCAGGAGGGAGATTTATTTTGAGAGAGGAATCATATGACGATGACATAATGCAGGCAAGTTGGCGACTTTGAATTTTAAAAAGAACAAAAAACAACATTTTCATGTATATATTTTACTTCACTAATTCTCTCACTTTTTGAAAGTGACATTGTTGTCGGGATAAGAGAATTTATTACAACAATATAACACATTTATCATAATTAATGATTCAACAAAAAATCTCACTTGATTTTTTGTTGCTGTTAATTCACATAAATAAGGTGCAATGAATCTCTTTTCATTCTCAATTGCTCTATGACTCGTTTTATGATGGATAACATATCAAATCTGCCGGGTGACATCCCTAATTATGACTCGATCAAATTTTCTATTTGGAAACTTAGGGTGGGACAACTGGAAAGGCGAGAGAATGAAGAAAGTTGTTGTTAAGAAGAGAAAGGTGATTGCCCTCTCACAGTCGAATAAAGTGGGGTTGTCTAATTCGTTCCTCAGCAATAAGCGAAATCATGTTTAGCGGACCAACCTGACCATCGATTCGACAGGCCATCCATCTATTGCGACACAAGACTCGACAATCGAATGGGGCATACAATAAGTTGTTGATGCTCTTCCATTACACAGTGAGGGTGATGTATCGATCACTACGTCTGAGTTTGATTGACTCCTGGATATTAGGAGGCTCAGTCTTATTTATTGGATTTTAACTTTTACTGAAGTCATTTTGCTTTATGTTATCTCTTGATGCATATGACCTTGCTTTGAGAGACCTTGGTGAGGATCCAGACCTGGCTAAAATCAATAAGAATCTGACCAAGATGATGACAGTAGCAGAACGGGGGCCAAGCAAGGGTTGACGACTCTTGATCCTTCGCTCAGTCGGAAAGGATCAAACGATGAGAGGAGATGTACGAGATATTGGTTTGTGTGGAGAAAGCGGAGGAGGTGGTGGACACTCTTCATCGAGAGCTGCAGGACATCCATGAAAGATTCTCGATACTCCAGGTTCTACTCAAGATGGATTATCTAAATCAAAGTTTAGTTTTGAAAAAAAAAATTATATAAGAGGCTTTTTGGTTGGGGCATGTCGCAGTTGAAGCGACAATTGATTTTCTTCTGAAGTATTTTATCTCATAATAGTTTTTGAGTCCTTTTTATGATTTGGAGTTTTTTTAAGAACAAAATTTTATTTTCTTTCTCATTTTATATGTTGATGTGACCTTTTATCATAGTGCTTTAAAAGCTCGTGTAGAGTTTCATTTTTTCCCCTACGCAACAATTCAACTTCTATTGTTTTCATATATTTATAAAGAACGCGGGGTTGGTGGTATTGCTCTTTAATCTAAATTTTTTTCCCTTATTGCTTTCTTGTTCCTATATATGTGCTCTGCTCAATGACTCTGTGACATTCTTTCAAAGCCTTCGAGCCAGTCAATTTAAATGGCAGATATTGGATGACTTAGATCGAATATGGTCAGCTGGAGGAGACTTGCATCTTTGATCCTACCATTACGCTTCAAGTAACTGCCGAGAACATCTGAGCTACCTCTCTTTATGGTTTTGACCTCATTTTTTATAAGGACAAGTTTTGTTTTAACTTCATACTGCATTTTTTAGTAATTGTAAACAGCAATGTGTACTATTCACCACTTATAAAGGTCATAATCGGAAAAGAAAGTTCTAAGAATGTCCTTGCAATATAATGAAAGGCAACTACGATTACTTCAAGTGGGTTTATGAAGACAAGCAAACGTCAGCTAATACCAACCTTTCTAGAGGACTGGATACTTTGGAATATCTGCTAAGTCGCAACAAGTCTATAAAAAAGAAACTTTACTTGAATATAATTTTTATGATGGTTGTAATTGTAGCTACACTAGTACTTTTAGTTGTCCTCCATATGTTGTTATTTTGAAGTGTATATGCAATCTAAGTAATGGATGCTCCGAGACTAAGGCTTACTTCAGTTTGTACTAGCAATGAACAATTAACTTCATGAAATATGCACGTAATCTAAGCAATAGATGCTACTAGACTAAGGCTTACTACATTTTGTATTAACAATGAACAATTAGCTTTAGCAGCTTGTAATTTCGTGAAATTATTCAATTGTCATATCTTAATTTTGAAAAAAATTTAATCAGCTGCACTGCGCAAATAAAGACTGTTGTGAACATTAAATTCTTTAACTTTGCAGCCTTAGTTGTGAAAGTAATCTTTTGTTAATCATTTACTCTTATATTTTAGTTATTTATTACATTGGTCTGGAACAATGCATATAAGCACAATGAAAAATGCATCTGAAATGAGTCACAATTATCACTTGCCAAATTTTTTTATATTCTCTCATATAATTATCTATATAGCATATCAATATACATTTTTTATGTCATTTACATGACTAACACTTAATTTCAAATGTTAAATTACAGATTTTTCTAAATCTTAAAGCATTTACATATATAAAATCTAATTTCAAATGTGAAGTCATAGGTTTCAAATGCAAAATTATAGAGTTTTACTTGCATGTGCAATACCTAAGTTAAAGTTGCAGATTTTCTCAACCCTTGCGTATTTGCATATCTAACACAAAATGTCAAATATTAAGTTGCAGATATTGTCTGTTTCCAAGTTGTTTTTGAAGAGATTTGGAGGAATGTTTGGATTTCTTAACTAGATCTTGTATCTCATGAGTTGTCCAGCTAATTGTGACCATTTTATTTCCTGATCTGTTAATTCCAAGGCATAAATATGTGGAATCTATTATTTTGATTTCGAATGAATAACTACTTGCACACACTAATGCGTGCACCCTCCATGGATATCCTCGATGTCAACAAATGATTATAATTGTATTTTTGTCCCAGTATTTAATATTCAGTGTAAAATTATTCAAAATTGGTTCAGTGTGAAGGGAATTGCTCCGAGTAGTAGAATTCTAAAAAAGTACCCCAACATAATGATTTGTTATCTCTACTCTCACATATGAAAAATTCATCATCAATAACATCAAATTCAGTGTCATTTTTGCAATTATTTCGAGCCAAAATGAGCCGAACACGAACTAATAAATCTTTATTCGTGTTCGGCCCATTTTTATATAGAGCGTAAGAAAAATTGTTCGGGTTCGGTTCGTTAACAACGAACTATTTCGAGAGCCCTAGTAGTCATATCAAAACAACTATAATTCAAACTATCCTTATGCAATTATATATGATAGTTTATTTAAAATAATTTATGATTTTGACATAATCATATAATATGCCATTATCAAATTTATGCAAAGTGTGGAGCTTTGTGCTCCTCATGACATAACAAATTATTTTAATTTAGAGAAGCCTTTTGATTTCTTTTTCATTTATAGAGTTTTTCCATATAAATAATTTGACTCTCATATAAAATTTATATGTGGTTTAAAATGTTTTTCATATGAGTTAGCATGGAATAATTATTACATCAGGACTCCGCATGAAGAGCTGACTGCGTAGTTAAATCCATGCTGACACGTGGAAGACCGGCCTACCTGCATAAAAAATAAAAAATTAAAAAAATAATGAAAATGCGTAAACTGGCCCGACCGATGCATTATATAAATATTTCATCGCATAAAAATATTCCCCCACGTTATTCTAAATATTTTCCGCGTTATTAACGTTATTGATGCGCTATTGAGGCTATAAAAATATTTCCCCACCCAATCACACACTAATAACACATAATAAAACACTAATAACGCATACTAATACAATTATACACTCCCTAGCTCGATGTATAAAACTTGAGAAATATTCCATGCGTGTTATACCGCGGGCTAGGGGAGTGTTATATGACGGTTGTATAACACATGGGGCGACGTTATAACCCGTAGTATAACACAGAGAATATTCCCCACGTGTTATACTGTAAGCTAGATAGTGTATAATTGAGTAATTATGTGTGTTATTATGTGTTTTATTATGTTGTGTTATTAGTGTGTTATTAGTTTGTTATTAGTGAGTTATAGAATGAAAATAATTTATTTAGATGTCATAATTTATATTTATTAATAACTTATAGTTATTTAATGTATTATTGAGGATTTATGAATATTTTGTGTTATAGAAATATTCTCTCACTTTATTCTGAATATTTTATGTATTATTCATGTGTTATTTAATATATTATTGATCTTTTATTCAGAATAGCTCAAGAGAATATTCCTATAACATGACGATAATGATAAATAACAAAAAAAAATATTTAGTTAGCTCTATGACGGGTGGGTCGAGCTGGGTCGTGTGTTTTAATTTTTTTTATTTTTTACGCATGGATCATGTCTCAGCATGAGATTGGTGTCTACAAATAGCTTTGCATGTAATTATTTTTCCTTGACATGAGCCCCCAATGGCCTTGAAGCCATCACATACGACCCAACCCGTACTCTGATCAAATTAGCTCGCGGAGAATTGTATTGACATCAGGCGGGCGAAGCGGAACGACGTTGGACTGGAGATCGAGGGGGGCGAAGGGTGCGAGGGAGAGACGAGGAGAGAGTGAGATTCGAACGGTAAGGAGTAATGGCTTTAGAGAACGCTTCGCCGCCTCTAGACGAGAAGGCCAAGAGGACACGGGATCTCCTCGCGAGCTTCTACTCCACCAATACCTCCGGCGGCGGCGGTTCAAGCAGCAGCTCCGGGCGGTTGGCGCCCGCTGATTCCATAAACTCGCCCAACTTCGACTCGGACCTCTACATGTCTATCCTTGTAAACTGCTATCCCATTTTATTCCCTCGTTTTCTTTTAAATGTTTTTTGAATTAGATCTAGTTGTAGGGACGCAGCCGAGTTCATTGATCCTTAGTTTATGGCTAATTTGGGAATCACTTGGGGGCTGTTCGGTGGGATGTGTTTAAAATACATTCATTTTAGGCAGGTTCTCCCTCTGAGGATTTATGTGGACATGCCGAGTATTGGAGTGTTTAGTTGCTTTTATAAAGTTTTGGCTTGATCGTTAATTCCAGTGGATTGATTGTGGTGATTCGTTACTGTTCTGTGGCTGGCTGATTGATCCTCTTGACTCTAAACTTGATAAGAACATTTGAATTCTTTATGAGGCTAGAATTGCAAAGTTTTCTGAAACTATCCTTTTCATTTGCTGTAGACTGAAAAGAAGGAATGACATTACATTTTTTTGCCCTGATTCTTGTCCTTTTCTTTGAACTTGAACCTAACCTAGAATTTGGATGGCATTTTGTTGAAATTAAATTTGATAATTGATTTCCTAAAGACTTATGAGAAATTTAAATTGCTTAAAGCTATTAGTATCAACTCACAGACTATAAGATCGGTACGTCTCATCTAGTTTTACTTAAGGATTTGACATTCTACGAGGTGTAGGCTTTTAATTTCTGCCATGCTGATATTTAGAATACTTAATCATTAAAATGTGCTTCATATCGTGCATAATAAATCTTTTTCTTAATCTCATGTTCTTTAGGTTCAAAAGCTAAAGTTGGACGGGCTTCTTCAGAAACATGTTGAAATGGCGGCTGAGATTAAAAATCTCGATACTGACTTGCAAATGTTGGTTTATGAAAACTATAACAAGTTTATTAGTGCAACAGATACCATAAAGAGGTAATGTTTTTTGTTGACCTCACCACGGCATGGCCTTTCTGAGTCTACTTTTACACATTCTAATTATCCTGATCAAGTTTTTGTCATTTTATTTTGTTTGATTGTCTTCCTAAGATTCACTGCATGTTTTAATGTGAGTTTCGATATTCACAGTATATGCACTTGATGCTGCTCAGTGCTAGTAGTGGAAGTAATTATGTGTAATAAATAGCTTGTTGAATTTACGCTGAAATTGCTAAATTTTCTTTTTTGTTGTATTTTTTTTGTTACTTTGGATTCTTGTTGCATGATGAAGGGTTAATAAGGTTTCAAAAACTATACGAGTGAATAGTTCAGTCACTTCCACCAGGTGTATGTTGCTATATTAATTATTCATTATTTTTTTAACTCTAAAACATGATGGTTCAAAAACTTTATTTCCATGTTTTGTTTAATGCAATTGTTGGAATAGAAAAACAATAGCTAAACTAGTTTTAGCATGAGGTAATTTTTCCAACTTCAACTATGAACTTTCATTAAAGCATGGGTTTAGCAACTAATTTCTACTTATTCAAGATGTGATTGAATTCGACTGGGAAGAACAAATGATGATTAGAAGGAGTTTTTTATGATAAAGATGGTAAAATGATATGGCATCATCATTGTTATTCGCTAATTAACGAGATTCATTGTTTTTTTTTGTAGGTTTTTTTCTCTATATTTTTTCAGTACTTTATATATGAGATGAAACAATATGGCGATTAAATAGTGAAGACAACATAAAAGAAAAATAAAAAGAAATGAACAAATTTTTTATTGTTTCAGCCATGCACCATTTATCATTAACAAAAATCATGTTTGCATGCATATCTTATATTCTAGATTAAACTTTCTGCAAGGAAAGGAATTATAGCCTTCTTATCAACGTATAGTTGATCATATATCTATATAATGAAAATCTTGGAAATATTTAGTAAGCTAGAAGATGGTGATCACCATGAGAGGATTTTAGTATTCTTACACATTGTGCTTCATAGTATTATAAAATTATAGGAGAACTCTGTTATAATAGTTTTGACCGGGATAATTTTCCTCAACTTCCCACAAAAGAGCTCCAAAACTTTGTCACGCTTTTATTCATACTGGCCTTCTCCGTGTCAAGGGTTGTAAACGAGCCCATAGCTTATTTGTATTTGGCTCCTTCGAATTTTTTTTGTTTGAAATATATTTGTGTTTGAAATAGCTCGTGAATAGTAAGTTTGTGTTTAACTTGATTCAATTTTGTTTGTTCGAATTAGCTTGTGTTTTACTCAAATTTAAGCTCATAACTTTATTAATCGAGTAGCTCATTTAACTTCTATCTAGTCGAGCCATACCTTGAGCTCTCATTCATTTTTTATTTAAAAGCGCTTAAATAAGTTATAATCATGCCACAATAACTCAATCCAATATCTTGAACTCCCACGCGACTATAGGGCTTATATAAGGGATACCCCTCCATATATTTAAACACCTGTAAGCAAATTTCTCCCACTGATGTGAGACTAAATAAATATACAAGAGAAACAAAAATTTTTTTTATAAGTTTTTGTATCTCACGGATCATGAGCCTCCATGTTTTTTTTTTTTTTGGCATTTACATACATACCAACCAATTCCTACGCATTTATATACCTAGCACCTAAACTTTGCTTTTTTACATTTATACCACCCAAATCTATTATATCATAATTTTCAATGACGATATAAAAAAAGATATAAATAAATATTATTACTTAATTAATATTTTTTCGAGCCAAAATGAGCTGAACACTAATGAACAGACCTTTGTTTGTGTTTGACTCATTTATAAATCGAGTTCAAAAAAGGTATTAGTGTTCGACTCGCTTGTTTACTGAAAGATCCAATATGGGCCACTTAATAAGCCGAAAACAAGCTGTTCATGAACGTCAAGCTTTTTTGACAGCCCGATCTGTGTGCATTATAACAATAGTTTATGTAGAAAATCATATTTTTGAGGTTCCAATCAACAACTTGAGAAAATGCCTTATCTATTTCTCACGGATGGTAGACCAAGAGGCTAAAGATGCAAGTTGAGAACCATAACTGAAAAAAGGTTCAACTATGAAATTTTTTTCAAGTTACTTTCATGTTGACTTAGAAAACTTAATACAAATGATATCTCTTGAAGAAATAACTTTATTGGAGGAGATTCAAATGGACATGTCGGTAGAGCGGCAGAAGATTTAAAAATATTCATGGTGGTTACGGTTTGGAGCGACTAATAAAGAAGGCTGAGTTATCTTAGATTTTTTTTAGCGTATGATTTTGTTATTACTAATACTTTATTTAAGAAAAAAAGATAAACGTATTGTTACTTATAAGAATGAATCTAATAAAACAAAAATTGATTATTTTCTTATGAGAAGAAGAGATCGTCGAGAGATCGTCGAGATTGTACGAGATTGTAAAGATTGTAAGATCATTCAAAGTGAGGATTTAAGTACCCAACATCGTTTATTAGTTCTGAATTTTAAGACGAAGAGTTGTAAAATAAAAACACTAGTACTCTTCATCGTATAATTAGATGAGAGAACCTAAAATACACAAATAAAATTATTTATATGAGTAAAATTCAATGTTTCAAAATTTGGGATGTTAAGGATGAAATAAATGCTATGTGGGATAAAATAACAAACGTTATTAAACAAGTAATAAAAGATGTATTTGGAGAATCAAAAGAAAAAAAATTATTTAAATAAAAATAGTTGGTGGTGGCATAACAATGTGCAATAAAAGATAAAAAATATATATACTATGTTATAAAAATTAGTTTAAATGTAAAAGCTTAGAGAACTGAAAAAAATATCAAACGGTCCGCATGTAGTCTAAAAGAACAATATGTGACGCTAAAATCTCTGCTTTTAATGATCTTTATAATAAATTAGATACTAATGTTGGTGAAAAATATATGTATAAACTGGCCAAACAGAGAAAAAAAATTTAAAGATTTAACTCAAGTAAAGTGTATTAAAGATGAAAATCAAAAAGTGTTTTTCTTGGAAAAAGATATTCAACATGGATGGGTGAATTATTTTGATAAATTTTTTAATAAAATTTCTGAAAATATGATCGACCTCAGTGATCTTAATATCTTTAATAATAATAAAACGTTTCATTTTTACCATCGCATTAATAAAAAAAGAAGTTGATGAGACTTTAAAGAAAATTGAGGGTGGAAAGTCTGTAGGACCTGATGATATCCCAATTGAAGTATGAAAATATTTAGGAGATTTGGGCGTTTCTTTCTTAATTGACTTACTAAGCTCTTTAATATTATTTTAAAAACTAAAAAGATGTCTGAGGAGTGGAGGAAGAGCATTTTGGTCCCCATTTTTAAGAATAAAGGGGATGCACAAGAGTGTGCAAGTTATAGAGGAATTAAGAGTCTGTTTGGGGCAGCTGCAGCTTATCCAGTTTATCCAGATAAACAACATATTCTGATAAGCTGCTGATTAGCAGCTGATCTGGATAAGCTGTCTGCCTGTTTGGTTTGAGCGTTCGGAAAACAATTGATTTGCAGCTGTTTGTGGACAAATGACTATTATACCCCTGAAATGAATAAACAGTTGAGCTGTTTGGTTTCTGCGGTTTGAAAATAGCTTATTTGCAGCTGTTTGTAGGAAAATAACAATTTCAACTCCGTTTATTAATAAAATTTAATTAAAATACAAAATCTTATTCTAAAATTAAAAAGAAATTTTTTAAAATATAAATTTTACTTTTCAATATAAACTTTTATTTTAAAAAATGATATCTTATTTTCAAACATATTAAGGAGTTTACTTTACAATATAAGCTTATCATTCCAATAGAGTCCAAGATACACTTTATTGTAGAAAATGATATGCACAATCCAATGATTTTTTCATAACTTACAGAGACGACCAGACCAATATTTTTTACAAATAATCCAATGTTCATATCAGATTAAAACACTTGATATGCGGTTCAATCAAACAAACGGTTGGAAAGAAGAACAAATCACACAATTTCATTTTATATTGGTGTAAATTGTGCTCTTACAAAAAAAAAAGCAAGACCAGAAAAGATATAACCAGAAGCAACATCATTGTTGCAAGTTCCATGAAGATGGAAGTGCACTGATACTTATAATCAAAATATGGGTTAGTGTAATAATAAAGTAATGAACTGATTGCAAAAGTGAGATTAACCTGCACACATATATGCTAAGACATTAAAGGCGAACATTGCTTGTACATTAATCACTAGATCCACATCAGTAAATGTTTTCCTGTACAAAAGTTGCTTCAAAGAAGAAACCATAAGATTAACCATAATGTCATAATTTGGTTATTTATTTGTGCTCAATTAGTCATGAAAAGATTTGATGCAAAATCCCCCTGCTATTTCTGCATTTGGAAAAGACATTTAATAAACCTTCTAAAAGGGCTGTTGCACCAAATGATCAGGAGGCTAATGAAATGGAATGAGGCTTGAGATCCTCTCATACAAAAAAATCTTTTTTCCCCATTCATATTTCAAATTTTCATCTGTATCCTTCTATAGCTTAATATAACAAAGTCTATGCATGTTACCTGATGAAACACCCAGCGAAGCATGACATTATTTGCATAACCCACACCAACGCTAGAAACTTTCAAATTTTGAATATGTTTTCGGAGGCTTCTACGAACCCAAATTGAAAGATAAATCCCAACCATTTGCTTGCTTATGATTCTCACAAAAAAATGATTTTTCCTTTTTCTTTGCAGTATCATCCTTCTTTAACTCAACTACCAAGCCTGATCCAGCAAAATCCTTGCAATTCTGGTTGGATGAGTTGAGATAATTGGGATTTTTGCAAGACTTGAAAGTATTTGAAGTATCTAAGGAAAGTTGAGCAAATATGTTAAGTGGCTGCTCTGGCCATACCAAACCAATCCTCTCAGAGCTGCTAAAGGTTTTGATGAGCCTCTTTTGTTCGGTGGTTGAAGCTT